AAAAATTAAAACTGTTTCCTACCATCACTGGCACATTCTAATTCTAGACGTCTAATTTTTGTTTGTTTGTCCGTCAGGTAGATTGTTGAAAAATATTAAACACGATTTTTTTTTTGTCTGTAACTTTAATGCTTGTTATCTAAGCTATTTCTTGTTAAATTGAAGTAAAAAAAACGTATCTAATATTTTTCTTTTATCTGACTGACGGACTAAATAGAAATTCTGTTTTTTACCCAGTCGACATCGCTATTATTGACAGCTTAGTACATTTTTCGTAAACATAATTTAACAGCCCGCGGTTAAGTATTAAAATATGTCGTTAAAGTTCCACTCCCATTTTCATCCTTTTATGTGCTATTTTCGGGATAAATATAAGATAAACTTACCTTACCTTTCTTAGAACTTTCAAATTCATTCATTTCATAATATATAATTTTTGCGTAACTTTCACCATTTATTAAAATTTATGGAGTAACAAAGAAAATAAAAGGAAAGAAAATAATACTTTCCCGTTTTTTTTTGCAACATTTTTTATTACTGCTCCACTTCTATTAGTCATAACGTAATGTTAGTAGCCTTCCTCAATAAATCGATTATTAAACACAAATAAAAATCAATTCGAACTAGTTGTTTCTGAGATTAGTGCGTTCAACTAATCATCTCTTCGGCTTCATTATTTGTATAGATATAGATATGATTTTAATCCTTAGTTATATACCAAATGTCATAAATCATAAAATGCCGAAATCTTAATGTCAACGCAATAACAAAAACTCAAGTACGAAACGTAATTCACCGGTAACCCGGGCGGCGCGCCTGCAGCGTGTAAATGGAGACCATTAATAGAGGTCACCCGCAACTAACTTTTACCGACCGCTGCCCGTCGAGAACGCGAAATGCGACCATCGAACACTAAATTACCACTCCTTCACTTCTCCTTCTTCTTCCGTGTTTATTGCCGTGTAAAGTCCACCAATGTGACATTGGCAGAATTATGTAAACGTAAAAATTACATAATTCTGCCAATGTCACATTGGTGGGCTTTACACGTAAAGGGACAATTAACATAACATTTTTTGCTGTTCTAACGTTACCTAGTCATTATATTTAGGTTACATTCACCATTATGTTCTCACTCAAGAAAACTGGATAAGAAAATTGAACCGTCTCAGATGGTCCACTTACTGACATTTTCTATTTCTGTGCCTCGTTGCCACAGGTCGGTCATTGGTTGTCATTTGTTTATCAAGCAGAGAAATTAGCATACAAAAATCACCCGTACTCCGCATGCGGGCCCTATCGACCGTTGCTTATTGTTCTTAAACGAGCCATGAGACAAGAACCCAACTCTCTGTCTCAGGTGAGCTCCGTTAGCAAAGGATCATATTTTCTTAACCTATCTTGAACGAGAATCAGTTATAAATGATTTTTAAGTGTTTTTTATAGATGTTATTAAATTTTTAAAGGTTTTGGAACCTTTGCTAACAACTATTATAAACAAGGCACTATGTTTAGTTAACAACTAGTTACCTTTTATCTTAAAATCATTAAAAGCCTAGCTACCGTCTCTAACAATGTCACTTGGATACGTTTTTTTTTGGTCTGATAGAGAATTCTTAAAGTCATTAACTCCGTCATTTTTGCTGTTCTATGTGCTTTAATAAACTTTAAACAAATGAATCTTATTTCAATTACAGGTTATATTAGTGAAAACGCATTTTGTTTCTTGATTCACAGGTCAACGAAATTAATATTTGCTTAACGTGGTTTCTTCAGTTAATGTAAACGTATCCTGAATAAATAAATAAGTCGACCCGTCCCTTGATGTGTCAGACCGAAGGCCCTTCACCGTGTGAACGGCATAGCAAGTGTTACCAAACTCTTAAACTAATGAGAAAGTATTGAAAAAAAAACGAAAACACTAAAAACCCAACTCCACGGAAACGAATGGAACAAAGACAGTAATTTCCGTTCCTTTTAACTAATATATTAAAAAACTAAAGTTAGAAAAGTTCGAAACTTAGATATGAGTTGTTTATTGAGTTTTAAAGTCTAATTTATTTTTAAACATGAAAGAAAACCTTAAAGTTTGTCATGGAGAAATCAAGAACGTACCGTAGCGACATCTAGTTTGATTTCGGGAACTAATGTTTTTTTTTAAATACTTCCTCATTCAAGTATACTTATAGTGCCATCCAAAACAATCATGTGGTATGTATCAATTGTAAAATTATTTGTTTATAATTAAATTATAGCAACTGCTCTGCGATTCTGTAAAGATCTAAACCCGAATTCGAATTCACTCAGGTATCCGAATCCCCTCAATGTTGAATTGCTAATAACGTTTTTCGGCATGAGTGGAGTAAGTTTCGAATGACATAGGAATATAATATCTGAGACATGTATATTCAATCAATTTTGTTTTGTATTTTTATACAAAAAAAAACGGTATCAGTAGAGGTTCTACACTAAATGACGTGATAAATGAGTGAATTCTAATTCGGGTCTGGATTTTTCACCGGACGTAATCACCGGTAAAATTAACAATACCAAAGTGTCAATATCGGCAATCTATTGAAGTCCATTTTGACCCTTGATTTCTATTGATAAACTGTTATTTCGTACTCCGTAAGCATAAGTGACCATAAAAGAAAACTGCAATTAGTGATTTCATCTTAATTAAAAAAATATACAGCAACTAGGGTTATTCTAGCGATTTGTTTGCCCACAGAGCTCTGTGAATAATTTATTACATTTGGCCTCAGAAGTTGCTAGTTACAGAATATCGCGTACATACCTAAAACAGTAATTAATTTACTAAATGTTTATGGCTCAGTTAAACTAGTAGATAGGGAATGTAGGCGACTTACTACATATAAGTCATCGACTAGTGTAATGAGCCATTATTTGAATATTTGTAATTATTTCCCACCATTTCACGTAGAAATATTGCTACCAGCGACCGATTCTTTTCTCGGAGCTTTCATGGACTTCGAGAATATAAAGAACATATCAAATTTTATGCTAACGGTACTGCCTATGAAAAATTTCTACTTTTCTTTCCACCTCTTTGAATCATCTCTGAGATAAAACTATCCCATGTCCTTTCTGGAATAGCATCTTCATAGCATATCCATAATTAACAATTAAATCGGTTAAGAAGTTTAAGCAAGTCGGATTAAGCTTAAAATCGTGACAAACAGACATTCAATAAATAATACTTATTTAGTTTTTATCTATAAAACGTTTCTAGCATTAACGGATAAAAGAACCGCCTAATAAGTTTATATTTTTGTGTTATAGTCTTAATACTTCTAAACTTTTCTTCCCCAAAAGTGTTCATAAATTATCAATATTTACATAAACTACTTATAATCCGCCCATGGACCTAATAGATACTTCGTCCACAAAACCACCACATAAATTTGCAATGATTCAGACACGTCTTTAGTTGGACATGTGGCTTTTGGAAATTTGAAAGACAGCTAGATAGCCTTGTGCCCGACGGTCGGTCGCACTCCATCAGTAATCTGAATTGAGATCTTATCATGAGGAAAACAACGTCCACGGGGACATACATTGTGGCGACCCATATCTGCGAACAGCCGAATCGAATAACTATAGAACTTCTACTTATATGTATAAACCAATTTTTTATCAGACTCGTGTCTTTGACAAGAATTTGAATGAAGTAAGAACTATTAATAGCTTATAATAAAAGTATTTTAACTATGAACAGTTGTTACTTAATTTAAATTATTGTTTATTTGGTAAAAACATTAATAGTGCTATAACTACAACCCTGAATGACACTAGAACGCAAAAGAATTGATATATCTGTCACCCTTATTTTGTGAAGAAGACAGTACTAATAATATTGGAGTTCACGTAGATAGTACAACGGCTAAATGCATGTAGTTGAGATTCTATTAACATGCGATAATTACGTTAAAAATAACAGAATTGTTGCCCTGATTTTATCAATGAGTCGATTTTCGTCATACGGATCACAGAAGTGATTCAATCACCGGTGATTCCGCACGATCCGATAAAGAGATCCCTATTATCTGCCCGCTAGGAACCTTTTTCCATTTGATCAGATAATACGGGTCAGCTAAAAGCTAAAAGTTACATTAATCGTCTTGTTTCTCGACCAAAAACCTTGTTATATAAGTTACCTACACACAAATTTACTCTGTGATGTAAAATAGGCAGCTAAAGCTCGGCTCAACCACATAATCCTCATTGTACTATTCAAGGGATATTATTGTCACAAATATGAAAAATAACCCAGCCGCGTTGATTTTGCATTATCAATATTATTTCCTAATATCTTCAATAAAATTACTATTGGAATATAAAAAAAAATTGTATATTGATTCGACGGAAATCGAACCAGGGATTGCAGAAATAACCTGTCGGCTCCGTAACCGACCTCCGTAGGTCGTCATTAATATTAAATAATACTAAATAAATATTATGTAGTTGCGGTAATTATTCTCATAGATCTTTTTAATAGATAATCTCACGATTTGTTAAGTTGTAAATCTAAGTCTCTAATCAAATTAATCCTACAATAGGTACCACTTAATAAGTATAAGCCTCTTCGTTTAATTCCAATTTATATTGTTAAAGACAATGCTAATTGACATTTAATGAAAAGCACTCCCTAATATTACATTGCTATTATTACATTTACGAATGTTGTAAGAATGTAAAGATGTAAATTCATTTATTATAAAGCGGAACGATTCGTTCGTTTGGATGGAATGAGCTTCGAAACTATTGGACTGATTTTAAATTTTCTTTCACGCTACGTCACTCGCGGGTACGTATGCTATATAGCATATGTCACCCGCGTGTGACGTAACGTATATACGCGGTCGAATTCGCGGGATAACAGCTAGTCATGCATGTCATGCATAAAAACTTGACTCTTGAGAATACGAAACAAGATAATGGCGATGTGACGTGGGTTATTTATGTCGTGTTTGTTACAGCGCTTACCTGAAAGATGACTTCGCAGTGCTGCCATACCTAGAAGCGGGTTACAACAGGGTATGTTCCTAGAATATATAACTAGTAGTTACAAATTAAAATAACACATGACGACCTATTCTTTTAGTCCTCGAACGAAAATTCAGAAAATTTCGAGTCATTCTTATAATTTTAATTGAAAATCATGGCCGCGATTATTATCTGTGCACCCGCGGCAGTACCTACGTCTATTGCATCATACATTATCGCAAAATGCGTTTCTGTGGCATCATTAGCAATTTGAAAATAGACCAAATTTCGTTTTCAGAGAAAAAGAATAGGCTATCAAGTATCCTGTTAATTCATACTAGTAGTGTGTACATTCATTTTGTTTAAAATAGAAAATTACTGTTTTATTTTTAAGATCAAAGACATCTATCTACTACACTCTAACACATACTGACTGTCGTGAATATTACAAATATATCTAATAACTACTTCACTTAGATACATTTAAATGAAAAAAGCTGAATTTATCTCATTAATAACTCTTGTATTATATGTAGTAAGATTGGAATAAAGTAATAGTGGATGATTATTTATATTTCTTTTAATATGTCTCAAAATATTTAACAAATAACTAATAATTGAACATTTTTCTTAATTCCCGACAAAACAATATTATCTGCAAGCACTCGTAGATTATGAAAAAAATGTCGGTTAGATGTAACGCATTTTGAATTATGAAGTTTTTCTATTGCTCAATATTGTTTTCTACTCTAGTGTTAATTTTATGTGTTTCGTCGATGAAAAACAAATTTTTAAGGATCAAATTGTTATTTAGATTCAAGCTGTACTATTTTATGAATAAGAACTGTTTTTTTGGTATTTTATATTCGTTCTTCTAGTCACTCAATCGAATCATTTAACAAACGTGACTTGAAAGAAAGAAATATATTTATCGGTCACACAGTAATCAGTAGGTATAGGTACAGACGTCAATACTTTGTATGTGGTCGGACGATTTAATGACAAAATTGATAAATACATTTTTATATTCAAATTTACAATTTTTATACCCTGAGGAGTACACAAATCAATTTCTTCATAATCTTCCTTAAGAAATGTGGCAAAAGTTTGTAAGTTTGGTTGTCTGTTTCTACGTCACGCAAAAACCCATGAACGGATTTTGATGAAATTTGATATAAATATAATTTTAAGCCTGGATCAATATATAGGTAACTATTTATCCCACAAAACTAGGGACCACGCGGACTAAACCCCTGGCGGAAAATGATAAATAACATCTGAATTAACTTAAAAAAATTACGGCCGTTCAAGTCACAGAAAAATGAATATTTCGACACACACAAGGAAATCAAAATGAATTTGACCTAGAACTGTGAAATTTGACTCATCGTTATAAAACAAATCAAGAATTAAACCCTAAAAACTGTGGTGGTAAATTATATATAAAGCTACTGGTTCAACTGAGTTTTATTCCCCACACACACGACATCATAATTCAATTTCGCATAATACAGTCGATGGTAAAAACTTGAAAATATGCCGCTTTAGGTTTAGGTTTGCTGTCTTTTTTTAAAATAAATTCCTTTTTTTACTATACAGACATTAATTAGTTCTCAGACGTCAAATTGTCAATATAATCGGAGCTGCCTTTCGTATGCGGAGCTGCCGTCTCGACACAGACGTGGGTCGACGTTTGATCGACTAACGAGATGATGTGGCTAGCTCAATCAACCGTACCTGTCATGTTGGAAAGAGGGAAGCTTAAAAAATTCATCGCTAAAGAGATTTTAATGTCCTTGTTCGACGCGTTATCTCATTAAGCTTCTCTCTTCTTTATCAAAGATTTATATTACCTACTATTGTCTTCATATAGTCTTGCGATCAACTTTTTAAAGATACTATAATATTTACTAAGTTATCTTTATGGAAAAATTAGATTAAAGTACAATTTATGTGAATAAACTGGTTTGTGATTTAACAGCCGAATTTATGAGACAATTAGCCAGTACTCTTTTAATGCATATATAATTTTAATGTAACATTAATGTGTTCGAAAATTTATATTTTAATATTTAAAAATAAATATTTGTTTACATTTTTGTGTTTATCACAACAATCCGACATAAACCTCCGAATACTCTTGAGAAATTATAAGAAGTGTAGTGTTAAGAGAGCCATTCTTTATTCTTCTTTATATCCAATTTAAGTTAAAAAACATAAATATGCTTTTTACAATTACAAAAACCATTTTAAAATTTGTGCAATGATTACATTTTTTTTACTGTATGCCTACAACAATACTCCATCGAATACTTTATCCGTTTTAAAGTTAGTATGTTTTTGGCATATGTACATCATTGGCACCTAAAGCAAATCGACAATGATGGAGGAGAAAACGTCAAAAGAGGCGTGTTGACTTATTTTGGTGGAATATTTAAATCTTTTCTTTTAAGCGACTGGAAAAGCGACTTATGGAATTACCTAACTTTTAAAGTCGCAATCGCTTCGAAAACGAATGATGATTTTGAATAATAAAGAAACGCAATAAAAACTTAACTAACCCCTCGAATGTTTTCAGTAAGCATTCAAATTTTTCGTTTCTCAATAGCTTTCAACCACTTAGCGCTTAATTAGTCCATTCCAATTAACGTCAAATTAACGATATTGTTCATTCAATATCTTTAAAAAGGGCGACCTAAATTGCTATATTCACGAACTTCACACTACAAATAGTTGTAGCGTGAAGTTCGTGAATATCTTTCACACATCAAATTTGCCCCTGCCCCTGATACTAAAATGTTAAGTCCTAGTTTTATAATATGTTTCTATTGTCTAAGGTGATGGTGGAAACTGTGGGTGCTACCGCGTGGTGCGCAGAAATACTTCAAGCGCGCACCGCAGCGACAACGGCGCGGGCGCAACTCGCCGCCGTGGCAGCAATAGCCGCAGCCGTTGACCGTTGCCGGGACCTCGTGGCCATCACTGACGACACACAGAGGATACTGGTAACCAACCTTGTTGACATACATAAGGACTGCCACGACACGGCCTAGCTAGAGCCGAGGTCTAAATTCTATAGAGACGCCTTTTCGATTGCATACAGTTAAGTAAATCATTTATTATTATTGGTTAGCATCTACCGAGTACAACTTTTAAATTAACAATATTGATTAGGTTCCTAGAGACACCTCGATTATTCACCTTTGCGATCGCTACTAATTGTAAGTCGAGACGAGGCTTTGGATAGATAATCAATGGCAAAATGCAAGTCTATTGATATGCGATTTAATTGGCCTACTCCAAGCTGTTTTGCTCTATAGGAATCCGGTAAACACTCAATGATAATGACTTTAAAACATTCAAATATGCAAGTAAATCAAATGATGCTTTTAAAAAATCTTTCCATTACACAAATTGAAAAAATAATTCTAATTATAGAAATATATAAAAGGAATGTAGGCTACGTTTTAGGTGACTGTATTGAGTTTCATATTTTCAGGTCACATTAAAGTAAAGCACTTTCATTAATTAATGTTTTATCGTAATTAAAAACAAGACCCTATCTGAAGTGAACAAAACGGAAAGCTATAATATATCAATAGTCTACATAATTCGAAAACCAAACGACGATGCTTTGATGGATAAAAATTGAAGATACCAGCGGCAAGCTCAATTTGCTGATTGTTTAATTTGTGAAATTGATATCTTTGTCGAAACCCACCCCCAGCTTATTCTAATATGAAGGTAATATATTCACGAGAATTGATTTAGTTAAATATCATGTTTTTGTAATTTGTTTTGGCGCTGGGTATTTATTCACAGTTACATAATGAAATACCTAACTTTCCAAAATATATAGTAAAAAAAGAATTTCCTGTTACAAAGACTTGTATGATAAAAATGTAAAAAAAATGCATATTTCCTATAACAGACACTTCCTAATAATCCTTAAATTTTGATCGTTATGACTCTGGTGTGATAGAGTTCGGTCTGCGATACGGAGGTTAACAACTTTCAGAATGGCCGTTCATATACATTAACTGGAGCTCCTCCGTGCTTGGAAGGCACGTTAAGCCCCTGTCTGCATTTACACGTTAATACACCTTTATGGTGGCTTAGGGCCTATTCTCCATATTTAATTCCATACATAAGAGCAGCTCCAGTAATGGTACATTAATAAGCTGATGATGAATTAGGAAGTAAAATTACTGAGTTTTATTTCAATTTCCAGCTGACAAACAAATCTTGGTGCCGGGTGTTGGGCTGGCGCGGGGAGGAAGGGCCACGGCCACTAACAGAGGCGGTGGGTGGTGAAGCCTTAAAGCAAGCGGCTAGCGGCGCCCGTGACTGGGAAGCACCCGTCACGCTGAGGCGGAGGGCTGCGCCAGATCCTATTTTACTGCCGTGTAGAGGAGCCGCCATAGCTATGACCAGGTATGTTTTAATGACATAATAGTTTTGCTAAAATGTGTACAGATGGTCCAGCGGCAGAATCACATATGCCGTCATCACCGTCTCCAGAGTTTTCCATACCACCAGCAACCCTAAAATTTTGCTACCCCTATTAACCTATATATCGATACCCTAGTTTATAAATCAACTAACTACATCTTTGCGACTGCTGGAATTACTTATCGACCACAAGAAATTGCGACTACGACATTGTATATATTGGTAGCTTTATGGTATTGTTGAATGATTTGTGTGGATCTCTAATTACGTGTATGAGTAAAAAAAATTTAATTTGATTAATAGTATAGCAATACCACGTAATGGATAATCGCTATCGCATCAGCACTGGTTTCCACTAGCTATAAGAGAACAGATTGATAAAAAATATGTTCAAATGTAACTAAGTACTTATATTGTGTGTGGCAATGTCGTTTGAAATTGTGTAAGAGGGCTGGTCCTTAGAAATTTCGCTCGACGCATGGAAGATGTTATTGCTCAAAGTGAAAATCTTAATCCGTTCCTAGCACAGCACGATTTTATTTTAGCTCTGTAGCACTTTTCGATTATTACGTACTTACCTTACCTACAATGTAATGTTTGGCTGAAATTGGCTTAGTTATATCGACATAATGAAACAATTGCACATCACTACACTGAGGACTATGTGTACTAAAGGACAAAGGACAGTCGATGACATTAAGAAAATATTTAGAAAATTATTTCTATTAAATATCTACTTACCAAGTAAAATTAAACGTATAAGTAGAAATTTTGCTACTCCCATTAAGAATATCTTCGACGCAAAACTCAGTAAATAATTTCAACATAAAAACTTAAGGCATATTAGAATAGAGTACAAAGTCTAATTTATACCGCATAGACAATAAGAAAATACTTGGAAAATAAGGTTGAATGAGAATTGCTGGGAAATAACATCAATGAAATCATAATAAACAATATTTCAAATCATTCAAAAAAGTGGCTACTAATTTATTTTACATTTCTTCCCTATACATATTACTAAAATTTACTCCGAGGTGAATTACCTACTTGTTGTGAAATTGTGCATATCTCGTAAGTACCTATCTTTTTTTCACTTTTATCCTTATTAGACATGTGATTTAGATGCCTTTAGCACGGTGGCACTATTAATAGTATTTGGTAGTTTCATAAAGCCGATGGCTATTGTCAAAATTGTCGGTAAATGAGATCAAATACCTATGTACTACTGTAAAAAGGATTTTTCTCTAGGCATGGGTATCCTTCAAATGATCTTATATCCTTCTAATGATAAAATATCTAAATTATTCGTATTTAGTTAATATATTCAAGATTAGATATATACATAATTAGAGATGTATGATTAGATATCTACTGTAATTAGGAGCATAGTATTCATTCTCAATACCTACATATATAATCCGACTCTTGACCACCATGTATATTGCAGTGCAATATGTAAAATGAAATAAAAAGCTTCCAACTTTATATTAATATGTTGAGCAAGTCTGAACATTTTTGAATATTACTCTTAACAAATATAGCAAAGCGATGTCCACGAAACGTTTATAATTATACGTAATACTATCGTCAATAGTTTTACGTTACAATTTCTTCAGATTGCAACTAATTTAATCAAAGATAGTGTTTTAACCAAAAATTATTGTAATTTCAGAAACATATCACACCTAGTGTTAGTCTGTGAACCAACTCACGTGCCCGACAATGAACGCGGTCGAGGTTCGCTACACTCAATCCGACGTGGATCGCTCGATGTGCGATCCGTCGCCTCGGATGGGCTGCGGCGGACCTCACTCGCTAAATTACAAGGGCTGCCACTAGAAGCCCCCATCACCAAGGTAACTAGTTACTCCTTTATAGAATTAAACATTCTAGTCATACTACAAGCCACTAGACATAGATCAATTGACTTCCACTCTAACGGCGAAGGGCTATATTGTTGTATGGAGGTATCCAGCCATGAGCTCAGAGTGGATTTTTTAAGCACTTTTTCTATTAAGAATACAGATTATATAGTTACAATTAGCAAACTATACCTGTGGTCTTACTCCGGTATTTTTTTTATGCAAAAAACCATATAGGGTTACCTTATCTCAGGATTTTCAGACTCTTCTTAGGGTTGCGGCCGGATTTTGTAAATATCAATATATCTTATATTTTGATTTACTAAACGTATTATAGTAATAACAAACTACTAGCCTATGCAATGTAATCTTCTGAAACATTTCACAAAAGAATTAAATAGCTACTTAGACTAAATAATTTTGAATCAATCCTATGGTATTTAAAAAACTCGCTATAATAACATATACTCGTAGATTCGTACAATAACTTTATTTCGTCTTCAAAATCTTAGGATTTTCTAAAGTAAACCAGGCCTCATCTTCAAACATTAAAATTTTTCATCTGGTAACCGTAACCCTACAGCATGTATTGTAAAACGGGAAAAAATGTAAACTACGGATATTAAATATTGTAATTAGTACCTAGATAACTTAGTTTTTTAGGTTTAGTCAGGTACCTTAAAGAGCAAGCCAAATCCGTGGCTACGCCCATGTGGCTAACACGGTATTGCCTGTTTTCTTGATGATATAAGGCAAATTATATCCTCTCAATTTCTCGGAAGGGTGTGTACATTAAAATGAATAAAACTTACTTGCGAAGTAATACGATCTGTTACTATAATTCCCATCACTAAAGTAGCTGTACAATCAGTACGTTGTACTTGTGAAGGAGATCTCATTCTAGAAAAAAGATACCGTTTCTGCCTATCTGGTAATTCGCCTGACTCAGTCTTCAGCCTGAAGTGACAATAGCTGCCCCTAAAATCTTTAAACCATGTAACTTACCACCAAGTTAACACGATACTCGTCACAGTTTATCGGGCATGCATGAACCGACGACCTCGAATAATTGCGTTACTACACTGACTATTTTAATGAAGTTAAACTGATGCTAAACTACAAAATATCTACAATTTAATTTTATAGTGCTTGTCTATAAAAAAAATCAAGATTTAAAGTATTATATGAGAGATTACGTATAGCTCATTATCATAATTGAAACAGAAACCCGAGAATTTTCAGCTGACAATTTGTTGGTCGTTTATCATTTCCAGGCATTGACAAAATAAAAAGTATTTTATAAATAAATAATTTGTTATTGTAGGTTATAGCTCTCCTAGCAACTGCGCAAGAAGGGGCGCCGCCCAGCACAGTGGCATATATAGAAAAAGCAATGGATATGCTTCGCACCTCCGAATTATATTCGCCGCAAATGCGCGACGAACCTAAACTCCGTGTAGAGGACCCTATCGCTACCGACCTCATTGGCGCACTTTTGTCTGTAAGTATTAAAAACTCTTTGTTACCTTTTTTATTATTATTTTTTATTTATTCTACAGTTGTATTTATTTTAGTTCAAATTTAATTTTTTTATGTGAAAAAAAAGTTCATTTGATTTTAAAGAGATATTATCAACTTTTTACTCTAATTATTACTTACTTGTAAATGTTAAAAGCTGTTCAAAGCAAAATTTCGATGCGAATATACCTACGTAAGTAATAAATAATTGAAAATAACATTCTTCCTACAAGAGCCCAATCAAAAACCAAGTTCATATATAACATTCTTTTAAGTTGTATGTACCTAATAAATAAATAATACCTTAAGCTATGTAATATGCAATAGTATTTATATAAAATGCACTAATATGTATATCTTTGTGTATGATCCTGTTCGACCTTGGAAAAGCGGGAGCAAGGGAACGCAAATATTATTCATATGGTAGGCAGTTTGAAGAAACAGAGCTATCTCTCTATGTCTTCTAGATGATGTCTTGTCTCGTCTGGCATATAGTGAAATAGATGCAAACTATATTTATATTTCTTAATATCTAATCAAATCGCTGAGTGCAGTATGTCCTCAAATTTACTTCAGATTGGAGTAACCATCAGTCCTAAGAAATTTCTCCAGTCGATTTTAAACTGCAACCTTACAAAATAAAGGTTTAAAACAAAGTGGAGAAATTTTACAGATTTGTATAATCTGACGTGTTTTAATATACTTTAAAGACCATAGACTAAAATGCAATGAAGGGGTTGAATTTTTAGCTATTTTATTTATTATATATGTATTTTCAAATTATTATCTACAATATACTGCACTCTATGATCTTCGCTATTATAATTATTCTTATATTTATATATATGTTTCTGAATTTCTTTATGTTAAAATTAACAATTTAATGCTTTTTGTAAGTTGATCTAACTATTAATGAATAACTATACTTACCAAACTAACGAATTGATTTATTTTCTTCACTTTGATTATTTACTTTATATGACATAGATATTTTAAATAGTTGATGTTCAAAGATCTATTTTTTATAATTTTATTTAATAAATACTAATGCCGTATGGATAAGACATGAAAATATTTCTTTTTTTTTTCAGCAAGGACCTACTAATGTTTTGTCGTCGAGGAGAAGCAGCAACGATTCCACTGTTGTCAGATCGCAGACTAATAGAGCAAATATTAAACACAAGGTAAGAATCACATTATCATGAAAACTGTATAGATTTTTATTCTATTACCTATACTCGAAAATATAATTAACTGTACTGCAACTTAATTTTTGGTGGGTGCTATTCCGTTATAAAACAGCCTCGAACTTGATGTGGAACGCAGAGGCTATGAGTACGCTAGTAAAGAGGTTTAACCAAATCAAACCTACTTAAAAAATTTTTTACATTGAAGCCATATGTAAATTTATTACATTGAAGCGCTGTGCTCCACGTCGAGTTTAAGGCTATTTTTTCACCAAAAAGCTTAACTGGACTCGATATGACAACGTTCAAGGCGAAGAAGAGAAAACAATAGGGATGATGACTGGGTAAAAAAAATGCAATTCTATTTAGTCCGTCAGTCAGATAATAGAAAAATATAAGATACATATTTTTTTTACTTCAATTTAACAAGAAATAGCTTAGATAACAGCCATTAAAGTTGAGGAGTGGGGGCTCGCTACGTCACAGTTGAGTAGAAAACTCAATGTATGCGTCATGCGAAATTTCAACTCAATGTAACGCCCTAATTTTATGATTACCACAAAAATAAAAAAAATACCTGTTTAATATTTTTTAACACTCTACCTGACGGACAAACAAAAACAAAATTAGTCATCATCCCTATTTACAAAAATTGAAGACTGTTGAGAAATTTCGAAACTGTTATGTTAATTTTAGTTCAAACATTTTGTGTAAACTTGAATGCTCTGGATAACAGGCTAAAGTCTATGGGACCAACCAGTTATACCATTTAAAATAAAAATAAATTTATCAATCATAAAAGTCTATACTAATATTATAAACAGGAAAGATTTTATTGTTTGTTTCGTAGTCTATGCTATGACTTCGAAACTTTTAAACGATTTTTAAAATTATTTCCCCTACGAGAAGCTACATCATTGATACGGGAGTAACATAGGCTATAATTTACGTAAATTATAATTTTTTATAATTTACACCACCAAAGTCACGAAAAAATGGCTAGTATTTTATAAAAAAAAAAATCTTATAGTGAAATAAGAGGGCGACTTTTATTTGACCAAATCTCTTACTACAATTTCAGACGTCAGGTCAGCTCCGTGAGCTTCTCGACACGGCATTGAGCTGGGACTTTGAAATTTTCCGGCTGGAGGACTTAACGCGAGGCCGCCCCCTTGCGCATCTCGGCCTCGCCCTCATGGGTGGCAGGTTCGACGTCTGCGCCACCCTCGAGTGCGACGAGAGAACTCTACTGCACTGGCTGACGGTCATAGAAACTAACTACCATGCTGTTAATACTTACCACAACTCTACACACGCCGCTGATGTCCTGCAGGTGGGTGCACCTCTTTTCTCAAAGGAACTGTTATCTGTGGAGTACTGGTTTAAGGTTTAAACATACACTGACACTGACTCTAGTATTATTTGTCAGAAAAAAATTTGGGGTGAGTACGGTCCACCAAACTTAGACTAAATAAAGGTAGACCTTCCTATTCCCATGTTCCTAAAAAAGATAATCGCACAATGACACAAAGTATTAAGAAAGCATTGAAATAAAATAATACGTAGCGTTTTCTATCTATCTCTATCTCCTATTATTTCTGCGTTCTACTGGCTAATGTTGGACGAGGTCACGAGGTAGGGGTCCTATAGCATTTACGTAGGTCCGGATCTATAACTTTTCCAACTGGGGCAGAAACTTGATATTTTGCCTTTATCCCCCCCCCCCCCCGCACAATTTTTGCAATCTATGATTTAAATCACTGATACAATTGACCCCGATAAGTCCAGCCCTGTTTTAACTTTACATATAACATAAGCAGGTACTACGCGGAAAGAATATGAGGTCTGTGAATGTAATCTGCGTAAAGATTTTTTTCGCAGCTTACATAATATATGCGCCAATATTCATATTTTCGTCTGCCTTGTGAACAAACTATAACAAAGCTGGGAATCAAGTATCTTGCCTAAAGTGGGGATTTCATTAGAGGAACATGCCCGCGGGCAAGTCGGCAAGCATGCCCGCCGGACATCGCTAATATGGGTCAGTGTAATGACTGCGACGGTCCTACACTAGCCAAAAATGTCCGCCCCATAGCGAGGTCCGGCTTACATGCCGTCAGATGTGCTAGTTGACAATTTATTATTTATTTTATTAAAAAATAGTCCATTAATATTTGAGAAATAATGCAGAAGTATTAATCGCAGACATACTATTATATCTGCGATTTATAGTTTCGGAGATACGGTGCTATGTTTGTGGAACTGCTGCAAGTCTGCCCTAAACGCTCCCTATAAATTCAAGGAACTAACTTCAACGACAGTGAAAAAAGTATGGGCATTTGGGCAATCTTTGTCATGTCTTCGTTATTTGTGCCTTTATGTTCATAGCTATTATAATAAAATTTTGTTACGTTTTATGTGACTTATTGAAAGTCTCGCAAAATTTTGTAATGTTTATACATTTATCCCTACCCCTTTAATGTTTATCCCTACTTTTTCAAGTTTTCCAAACATTTATTTAAAAGTGGTTCATATTTTCCGAATATATAACAGGAACCTTTATTTTTACTTGTAGGACACAACCCTATTCGTGACTGATCCCCACTAGGATAATCCGTGACTGATCATATCTCTCTCCCCACCGTAGGCAGTAGCGTACTTCCTAGAGAAGGACCGGCTGAAGGGCACGCTGGAGCCGCTGGAGGCCGCCGCCGCGCTGATCTCGGCCGCGGCGCACGACATCGACCACCCCGGCACGTCGTCCGCGTTCCTGTGCAACTCGCGACACTCGCTCGCCATACTCTACAATGACGTCAGCGTGCTCGAGTCCCACCACGCCGCTCTCACCTTCAAACTCACACTCAGTGAGTATTGGAACTATGAACATAATATAGCATTTCCATAGATACTCACATAATCAAAGAGACTCTCTGCTAAAATAGCAATCTTACCAAGCTACCTTGGCTAAAAGGAACTATAACTACTGAGTAAAGAAACTTGAGTGTAGAGATTGAGTAGATTTATAAATGTAAATTAATATCTACACAGCATCTAAAAAAGTAAAACAAAATAGAGTTGAGAAAAAATTTAGAAAAGAGGCAAATTCTGAGCTATAAATTAGAAAATAAGATCGAAGCAAGAAGCGCGCAATCGGGCGATCTGATCCCCGCCGCGTGTATTGGCCGGTTTATGAATTGAGAAAAGAACAAAATCTAAATTTTTTATTCTCAATAACTTTAGTTTTTTTTTTTAATTTTACATGACAAAAATCACACTCGAAAAACCTGTTTAATTGAAATTTAAGATGGATTAAGTTCAGTTTGAGATGTGCTTAACTTTAAATTCTCAATTCAGAAACCGGGTGTAAGAGATACTTGATACACATTCTGCTTATTGAAACAAAAATCAAAACTCATTATAAATTTTAATCGTATATTCGGTTATCGTCGCAAATGGTAGACTGCTCTGCGCAAACGAAAATTAACCTTATTTGACTTTCAATCAGTTTTGTTTTTAATTTTTGGTAAAGATGCCTAATTGTTTTTCGAATAAATTTAAAAAACACTAAAATAAATTGCGATTTTAAATTATTAATTAAAACAGACGACGACCGTGTGAATATATTCAAGAATCTCGACCGGGACACTTACAAGACGGTGCGGCACAACGTGATCGATATGATCCTCGCCACGGAGATGACCAAACACTACGAACACTTGGCGAAGTTCGTCAACGTGTTCTACGCGAAGACCAGCGGCAGCAAAGAGGACGGCATACATAATGATGTAAGCAGGCTAAAGGTGAAAATATTCGGTCTACGATTTTTTTAAGATAAAATCTTTCATACTGTCATGTATTAAATTACAACCATAGACACGCTATTAACAAATATATAGCTATAGTCTGAGAAATCATATAGTAAAAAAATCATCAGTTATATTCATGGTCACCCGAATTCATAAGAAGTTTCTTGAATTTCTTCTTTTTTTGAAAGGTTTTAATTTAAAAAATGATTTATTTTAGCATTTTAAGTAATAAATATGTATGTAGGCTACTAACTATTACTACTACTAACTCTGAAACTACGAATAGCTACTTGATTCGATGAGGAAGTATTTAAAAAAACATTAGTTCCCGAAATCAAACTAGATGTCGCTACCGTACGTTCTTGATTTCTCCATGACAACCATTTCCGGTTTTCTTTTATGTAAATCAATTTTCAAAACTCAATAAACAACTCATATTTTATTTGTAGTTTTCGTATTTGTATTGATATCTAAGTTTCGAACTTTGCAATTTTCAGTTTTTTTTTATATCTTAGTTAAAAGGAACGGAAATGACTATTTTTGGTCCATTCGTTTCCTGCAAAAATCAATTTTTGCTAGAGTCGCCATCTAGTGAGATGCTTTTAGTGCTTTCTTTACTTTTTTCAAATACTACCTCATTCTCATAAAATATTAAACTACCCTCATAGCAGTAATTCTTTATAAATTAATATATCTATACATATTGATGAATGTTTTATTTTTATGAATTTAAATTAGGTTCGATGACATACTGGAACATTAATATAAAAAAAATTAGAATTCATAACTTTTGTAAATTCAGTTCAAATTAAATGTGAAACCAAACACAATACTACACTTAACATTCCAACAGGCTCCTTATTTTATTTTAAAATTCTTAAGCAGGTATACTTTATGATATACTTTACGGTACCCCATAAAGAAATAAATAAAATTGAGACTCATTGGATATCTGTCCTTCAAGTTTAGCAGTTAGTATAAATAAATAACATTACTTCTGCTTTTCAGGAGCCTTTAGCGTTGGACACCACAGCGCTCTCACTACCAGAAAATGTGGTTTTAGTCAAGAGAATGATGATAAAGTGCGCTGATGTCTCTAATGCTTCTCGACAACAGAAGTTTGCTGTCGAATGGGCAAGAAGGTATTACATGTTTTGATGATTATGAGAATTATATAACTTCGACATTTTGTTCTTAAAGCTAATATTTTATTACTTTGAATGATATTGACTTTTTTCTATTTCTTTATTCTTTGGACCACTTTTACCAAAATTTGCAAATAATAATGTTTAGCTGTTAGACCCAGCCCAAAATACCTAAAGTATTTATAGTAACTATAAAGTAGTAAGTTTATATTATTATAAATGCTCCACAATATTTAAAAACTTTCAATGTCAAAATAATAAGATAAATAACGACAGCTAATTATGAATTTTTTTGCTAAAGTTTTACAATGAAACCTTTTTTTAAATAACCCTCTCTAGGGGAGGATAAAATGAGACCCAAGTCATACAAGAATCAAGTCAAATAAGGCGACCGAAACTAAAATAAATACGCTTGCGTATAGGTAAACTTAACTAGCTCAATATGTCGTACAAACGCATTTACATTAGTAGTTCCTCGGTGTAGCAACGTGTGTTCCATCCATTATAAATACGATTGGCTTGAAACGATTACCTAGTGTGGGTTGTTATATTAAATAGTGAATTAATTGAGCTTACGTTTTTGGTTATTTTGATGCAGAATCGCAGAGGAATACTTCCTACAGACCGACGAAGAGAAAGCGAAAGATCTTCCCGTGGTGATGCCGATGTTCGATCGGGCCACTTGCTCCATTCCTCGATCGCAGATCGGTTTCATCGACTACATCATCATCGACATGATGGAAGCTTGGGCTGGTCAGTATACCCACATTCTTGACATTATATATATTTACGCTTTTATCTTTTAGGAGATGAAATCATGCTGTAAGAACTTCACTACAAACACCAATAAAATTTGTCACTAGTGTTTCTTCTTTTTATATGCAGGGAATTACACATTCGTACTTTTCAGTTCAGAATGTGTAATTCCCAAAATGTCCAACAGTTTCAAAATATTTAATTTTCGTAATGTCCACTTCCTCGAATGTCCCACTCCAAAATGTCCAATCTAGGATCATGGTGGGTTTATTGAATTCACACATAAATAATATGTAGCAAGGTTGTCGATATTTAATATTTTTTAAGAAAATAGGTTAACGCCCGGTTTCTGAATTGAGAATTTAAATTTAAACACGTCTCTAACCGTACTTAAGCCATTTCAAAGGTCACTAGACAGGTTCTCGTTTCTGATTAAATTTTTTAATGATCAGTTGATAGGAGTTTTATAAAACTAGGACTTTTTGTCTTGTGAAACCTAAAAAAAATGTATAGGGGAGACCTAGGAGAGTTGTGACAATTTTTACATAAGGGGCTCTATCTCACTTAAGAAACATTCCACAGTTATGACTCATGTAAATTAGTTTAGCGCCATTCCTTCTGTTTTCAAAACCATCACTAAAATTAATTAAAGTATAATAGTTTCTGAAAAAAATAACAAAATTCAAGTCCACTCCCCTTGTCACAACTCTCCTACCACCGAGGTAAGTTGTGACAGGTACCGAGGTAAGTTGTGACATCATTATATTTTAGCTATAAGATATAAAAATACCATTACATACGACATAAATAAATCAAGCACGTTTTTTTTATCAAATCAGTACTTTAATCAGTACTATAATAATAAATTTGACTTGGAAAACACACTGAACATGTTTGCAAAAAGTTGTCCCAGTATTCTTGTGCACTGTACAAACTTAGTAGGATCGCGAATCAGTGCACGATCCTTACAGCTTATTATGCGTACGTAGTTTCTTCTGTTCGATACGGCATTATATTTTGGGGATATTCGACTGAATCTGTAACTGCCTTTAGAGCCCAGAAAATATGTGTTAGGAGCATATTTTATTAAATTAAATATTATGACCCTGCCATCAATCTATATATTCGAAGTTGGTATTTTTGTCAAACAGGATCAACAACTATTTGAAAATAAGACGAGATTGCGTCATCGAGACAAATTGTGTACGATACCCTCTAAGACAGCTCAGTTGAATAAAAGTATCTTTTGTATGGCTCCAAAAATTTTTGATAAAATTCCAAAAACAATACGTAATCTGGATAATTGTAATGTTTTTAAAAGAAAACTTTGTAAATTATTAGTAGCTAAAACATATTATAGTGTAAACGAGTATCTAGCTGACAGTACTTTATAAATGTATAAATACTTAATGAATTAGTTGAATTTTTGACATAACATGTTGTTGATTAGATTAGTTGACAATTACTAACCTACAAATATTGTATGCTTTTTATGCAGGTAGGTTAGGCAGATCACGGTGTAACTATTCAGTCCTTGCATCCAATATCTTTATATAACCTGCGATCAACAATAAAGATTGATTTGATTTGATTAATCATCTTTTAATACCTACCAACTAAAACAACATAGTATTAATATTAATACTACAATAATATGATTGATCTCAAAGCGATACAATATTTAGTTAATGATAATATTATAATTACTTGTTATGAGAATATTCTCATCAGTATAACATCTTAATCTAATCAGTTTCACATTTATGCCAAACGTAATGAAGTTCGTCCCCAGTACAATCTAACTGTGCCTAGCCTTTGCATTCCAGGCTTTGGACCCACTGATCATTCGATCTGCTGTCTGCATAGGCTTCAAGGCAAATCAAATAAAAGCAATTATTTTCTACATCTTCTTCATCACTTGTTCTATTCTTCTTATTAGTCTTCTTTGCTTTTTTAGGTTTCTTTTTTTTTCTTCGCTTAAGACACGCTTCTTAACATTCTTAGATTTTCAGTCTCTCGTGTATAGTTATTTGGTATTCTCAAAAAAATAAGTATGCGATATGCCATTATACACCTTAAGTAGCTACTAACACACCAACGAACATCTAAAGTTAATAAAAAATAAATGTAAAAATAGCCCAGCAGAAATTTGGAGTAAGTTAGGAGAGTTGTGACAGGCTGTCACAACTCTCCTAGGTGTTCAAAATGACGTCTTGGTCCTAATAATAATTCATATTTTCTAAACACGATGCGCATACAAAAAATCAGTGCCACGTATTGAGACTTAAATAACTACATAACTTAAGAAAAAATAACACATCAATGCACATATACTAAGATATGATATATATTCAAATAATATTTTGAAGAAAAACTTACTTTTCGTAATTTTTTGTACACTGACGATATATTTACGCAACTGTGCCACATGCACCGTCGACAGGTACTGAGTCGTGTAGCGCGTGTCGAGAACGACAAACAAGCGTTAATGCCATCTCGCTTACTATAATACGTAGAGAGAAATCCTCCTTGTCACAACTCACCTCTGTCACAACTCACCTAGGTCTCTCCTACTACATATTTTCAATTCAGAAACCGGCCGTATGAGTACCTATTCAACTAACTTGTACAACATAGGTATTATTCATTAATGTATTCAACAAACTCACATTCTGGGAACTGAACTGAACACTTCGAAACAGTCGGAATCCTGAACTAAAATGGATTCGTATTGTTCTGCAGCATTTATCGATATGCCCGAACTGGTAACTCACGCGCGCAACAACCACGCCCGTTGGCGGGAATTGGATGAAGCGGGCGTCACCACTATAGCGGAGGTGATGCGCGCGCAGCGACATCAGGCGCTCCATCCGCCGCCCCCCGCGCACAACCCCCCTCCCGTGCCCGCGCCCGGTCCAGATGAGGAGTGAGACGCACGGTACGTATGAAGCAAACTTGGAACGATCGTACGTCAGCACCGTGGCATCATTGACAACTAAAACTCAGAAGAATTACGAGGCGTAAGAAGACACTAAGGATATGTACGACGGTTTTATGTGAGGGTTAAGGCGTATTCAGTTAGTACGATGATTGCTCTAGAAACGAAGCATACGATATGGGGTTTTAGCTATGTAACCTTTGACTCTCAGGGTATTTCTCGAATTTGATGCCCTTGCCTTGTCTACAGTCAAACTAACAGATTACCACCAAACGTGTCATAGAAACCAACGTCAAATTTGTTATGAAGTTTTCCCTCCGCACATAATTCTGAACTTTTCGGAGGCTTACCATCACTGATGTTATACGCAAATATGCACAAAAAATATCCTTTAATTTTTAACAAATTTATTCAGAAAACTTAAAACCAAATATGCATAATTCACGCAATATTAATACTATGGATATTCATGAAGCTAGTACCTGTCTCTTTCAGACGAAGAAAAAGATCTTCAGTCATAATGTTTTGAGAAAATTGTCATCGTAATTAATCGTCATAATGAAGCTAAGCACAGCTGACGAAATCGAGTGATCAGGAAACTATATAGTTACATATGCTTATTAAAAAGGGGGTCAAAGATTTCCAAGGTCAACGTTAAAAGTCTGAAAAGGATCACGGGCATTGAAGATGCTAAACAGATGTGTCCGAAAATACGCTTATTTTATACTTATTATATCCATGTTAGTGTAGATATCATTTAAACTATAATAATTGTTGATATCTACTTTTTTACGTAGTGGTATTTAATAGAGTATATTGAACAATATATTTACTATGTATGAATAACCTTAATTAAGATTTTTATCAACTGATTCGCAGAAATTTTACTGGCAAAATGCCCCTTTTATTGACATGATTGCCATTTACACGGGTAGATTAATTTAATTGTATGCATAAATTATTATCTGAAAGGGTTTAAGTTAAATCCGTGATATAGTGCCATAATAATGAATTGGCAAGTATTCATCATCATCATTCTGAAAACACCCTGTAAGGCAGCGTTCAGACAACAGACATTTTGGACTGATTTATCTACACTGTCGGCACGTAAAGCGCTGGCAATCTCTGCGCGCTCATTGGTCAATAATATAATGACCGACCAATAAAAGAGGGGGGTCAAAGATGGAAAAGGATTCGTACGCCGCACGCAATGGCATCAACCATTATCTGCCATCAATCGCGGGCTGTTTTATTGTGTCTGGCCAGAGTGTAGTTTTATATAATTACCAGTAATAACGCTACGCTCGATAAGTCATCTCTATCCAGCAGAGACCTTTAGACACCTTTGATGGATCAGATAATATGTCCCACGTATGTACGGGTTCATACTATTTCTTAAGTTCTATCGCGTGTTAATTTGTCGTGTCGTCTGAATGCAGCCATTAATCTAACTCACATAATATAGGACAGGTGAGGTGGTTTTGGTCCTCGGCATTTTGTTGATCATTTGCGACTTCAAGGTGTTGCACGCATTGCAAACTATATTACATTACCTTGATATTATGGTCCTCATTATGTTGAGTTATGCCAAAACGGTAAAAAATATTGAAATGGTATATCCATTATCTCACCAAAAACCGGATTAAAACCGGGTAAACTGCCTACATTAATATGTATACTGGGTGTATCATCAATTCATTTTACATTATGTGTAATTAGCATTAAGGATTCAAGGTTCACAACTCTTAATGCAGGCTTTATGTAATGGTATCTGTATCTTCGTGTGCCATTTGATTCATTAATAACGTTCATTATTTATTATCACATAGTTATGTTATAATAAATAAAATAAAATAGTAAGTTTACTATTTTGTGTATTTAATACCAAAGTTTTGTATTACAGGTTTCCCTTATTATACTAGATGTACTGGAAATATATATTATACTATTAATGTTATTTATTGACTAGATATTTTGAAAAAATGTAATTGTTTATAATAATGTTTTATTACATATAAATAATTTAATATAAGATTTGTCAAATATAACATTCGTAAAAAAAATAAGACTACTCGTTTTTAAATATTTTACCAAATGACAAAATATAGTAATCCAATTGTTTTCTTTCAAAATAAAAACTATTAAAATAATTGGTCCATTTATACACTTGAGCTTTCAAAGAATTCCTATTTTTATACTAAACTTTTTGTAGTTCACCGAATCTTTCGGCATCGATAGCATATCAATTTTGGAGTTTTGATTTTTATTTCTTACGTACTTACCTATACATTTCATTCTTGAAATCGATTTATATATTGGGAACCTTTAATGGGTAATATTATATATTATAATACTATTCTTAATTGTAATATGTAATATCGAAACACCTGAATATTTATTTATAGTAACTTATTGTATTGATTAAAAGGTGTAATGTATTTTAATCATAAGTTATACGTCGTTCGTTACTAAAAGTATATAATATTATTCGTCAGTGTGACGCTGGTATGCTAAGGACTTTTGTAGTATATAAATAATCAATTTGTGTAAAGTTACGCTTCCTTGTGCTCAATGTCAATATAAAACGGTCTAAACTAATTATACATACTTATTCGAAACGTTTTCACGTTATAATGACGTATATATGTGGTAGAAACTTTTTTGCTACTCCGATATTGTATTGTAGGTAAACAGTGTTCAATCTCATAATATATTTTACAATGAGTATGATACCTACCAAAACGTAATCTTAAGTGACTGGATTGAGCTACATCGACATCAGCAGGGTGTAGTCTTTTTTCATCGCCCTTTCGTTTTCTGACGCTTTGAACCGCCATTTGCTAGAGAGAAAGATAACGGGTAGGCAATAGAAAGCCTAATGCACAATTCAATAGTCAACACGATATCTATCTCGCTCTAGCAAATGGCAGTTCTGTACGACAGAAAAGGATAAAAATATAATAAGGTACCGTGCTGCCAGATGTAACTCAACCCTAACGATGTATCGTTATTTGTTAAATTATTTAAAAAAAGTTAATTTGATATAGTTAGCTCAATTGATTTAGTTTTTAGATAAGATTAATCGATGTCGGTTCTATAATAAATTTTTCTCGAAATTTATAAAAATGTATTACAATAGGAATTATGTATTAAACAGTATTCTCGAAATGTATAATGCATGGCAACCTTGACCTAACACGAGTATGGCACAGTTTCACATGTTCCGGAAATAAGTATTACTTTATGGTTAAATTTGAAAATGAACAAAAATAGAAACAAGAATTTAAAGCGACCGTTATAAAAAACTTTTTTCTGATTTATCGATAAATATGTTTTTCATTTATTCACACTTGGTTCAAATTAAAATAAGATCAATTAAAGTCGAATTGAAAACTGAAATAAAACAAAGTCATTGATTAAAAACTTGTATAAATAATAAACATATAAGCACATTGGTTGACAAAAAATATTGCTAAAGCTCTAGTTTCGCTCGGAACATGTGTAATATGCGCTATAAACTTTTATTTATTTATAAGATGGCAGTGTTTGTGAACATACCATAAGATGACGGGGGCTGGTCCTCATATAGCTATATGAAATTGCATTGTTGTAAATTTATATAATGATTATACATTGATGTAGCAAATAATATGCAAATAACGTTTTTCCAGTAGAAATGTAAAGTTTCATGAACTTTTCGCTTTAAATGAAAAATGCTTAAAAATCCACCTTGTCCCTGGCACTATGAGACTTTTTTATTTTAAATTCCGCTTTTAATTTAAAATAAAAGGAAAAAAAAAACCCGTACCTATGGAATCGATCACGGACTGGTGATTTTTATTAAAGTATTTATTGCTTTAAGCTATATTTAGCTAAATATGAATGTAGCATTGTGAAAGTAAAATTGATCAAATAAGTATAACATGAAAACATGTTATTAAAATTCACATTTACTCTTGAAGCGATTAATTCTTCCTGAAATAAGAAATATTAATAGTTCAATAAAAATAATTGTTGCTTAATTATTCAATGTAACACACAAAAATTCAATAAAATGTTAGTTAGGGGTTCATTATTGTGATTCCGTATATTTTTTTTCATAGTATAGTTTTACCGAAGAATGGAAAGGAAGACTACGCTTCGTGTATAATAAAATTTGAAATCGATCAACAATGCAACTTAATTTTTACATTATTTTGAATGATTGTCATATGTTTGAAACAATTGTCATGAATGGAGTTTGTTAAGTGTTGTAAATAAAGAAATAATTTTAAAATTAACTCGTTTACTTTATTTCCGTCCTTAAAGTACGTAATAAAAACATGCGACATCTTCATAAAACATTATATTATAAACAATAATTAAAAAACATATTTCACATTATATAACTTATTACAATCCCAACATTGCGTTACTATAAATGCAATTTATATAATTTATATTCATTGTAATATCTTGAGAAAACTATATTAATTTGAGACCTGTACAATTTTTATACAAATATGAGGTACAGTATACAGGGCTATTTTTAAAACAGGACTATATAGCCAACACATCATAAACACCAACATTAATTCTACAATACCTTGTTAAATTTCATGGTTGTTAACGTCAGAATAACAATTATTATAGGATTGCTACAATGTTTATATTTATTCAATCCCTAATATTTCGGTGTTGTAAGCTTCACAATCACTAAGTAACTAAAGTCTTGCGGGTGGATCATATAGGCAGATATATCGATCTACCCTCGTTTACACTACGAGCATAGCGCTCATAGCAGCGCCGAAATATCGAGAACATTATAAAAATAAGGTATATGGCGGCAATTCTGTAAATAATAGTTCTACAAAGTTTAATAATTCATTAGATTTTATTTCCATACATTTATTTCAATTTACTGCTTAAACGTTAAAAATTTCACAGGTACTTCACACAGCGCGCAAGCGTAGCCTCATCGTCTTTTAATTTATTAATAAAACGTATAGAAAGGTGTCACGAAAATTTAATAAAGACTTTAGAAATAATTTTTGTTCAAAGTTATTTTTTAAATCATAGATCAAACGTTGTTTTTTATGATGTACTAAAATGTTGCTGGTGTTTTACAAATAACCCTATATAAGAGAAAATAATAAGAATTGGAATGGAAAATATAATTTTACATTAAATCTATGTAATAACAAGAAATAACATAACTAAATACAATGATACAGAAACCATAATACCGAATAAGTACTAGAAAATAACATGCTTTATAGTGTAATGACCGACTACTTTTGTATAATCAGTACATAGACTAACAAAATCTAGGAAGATCGTTACAGAATATTGTATACCCTTAAACGTAATGTAATGGCATAAAACACTAAACAATTTCCAATCAAAAAATCTCCTCAAAATTAAACCCTCGATAGTTGAATCGAGAACAAAATATGAATATGTGTATATATAAAACATTTCTATCGACAGAACCAAGATTACGGTAAGATACAAGTGATGTAGCTCACTGAATAATCTGCTATAAAGGCTATATTTCAAAACGTGGCAAACGTCGGCCAATCAGAAACACTCAAGTATGCTATACGCCGTGTGTGAGTGAAACGGACACATAATGTGATGGATTATACACCTTATAGTTATTGAAACATGACACACTATATAAATTTTAATGTTTAAAATTTTTATATCTGCTCAAACGAATATTCACCATTCGCTATTTTAGTTGGAACTTACTGTACGTCTATCATTTATTTGCGAGTTCCAGAAAGAAAGGTATGAAATAATCAAATTTTATGATAAATTTCAACTCTATACAACTTGGTCTATAAGACTCATTTGTTATTTTCTGTACATACAGAAAATATTAAATATAGAAACAAACGAAAACAATGTAGTCCGTTATTCATCTGAATTAACTAAAAGGCACCAACATTTCCAATGCGAATTCCTAACACTATTACATATTAGAAGGAACGTCAATAATGTTTTATATTACAGAATAACACATTGCTAGTCCGCAATATTTATACTACTAAATTGAATTATAAGGAAGTTAATTTCGATTATAATCAAACCTATGTCACACGTGCACACCGATGGGAAAAAGACAGCTAGGGTTGTCAACTTTTTTACAAAAAAATAGAATATATCTGATTCATCATTTATGAAACAGTTTTTAAAAAGGTAATGTTGCTTGTAAAAAAAATTAGCTAATAAAAACCAAAATTTTGAAATAACTTTTATTTATTAGGTTGTGTATCATATATGTATGCGTCACTGGCATTAGAAACATAAATATTGTGTAAAAAGAATATTTTAGCGTCCTCTATAAGTGTCATAGTTATAGAGTACTCCTTACATACAACAACACTACTTTAGAGTACGGTTAACAACCCTAGGGACAACTTTCTCATACTGGATACAGACCCGATATCTACTTTAATGTTCACAATTTTAAAAACAAATGGCCATATTCTGTCAAATGTAAGAAATAAGCCTCAAAATCGATTGACTAAAGATCAAATTTGCCTAGCACACTGTCTTGTTGCGCGTGGATGTACTACCGCACATTCATATGAATACTCCGACTAACGACATGATACAAACTTTAAAACGGAAATGGAAGTATTTGAAGCGGACTAAATAGGTATTTATCACACAGAATACAGTGACACTCGGATATATGAACACTGGACAACATGATTTATGATAAATATTCATCCCCACCTATTTTATAGACTTTTCTATACACCATTTTGTATCTAGGTTATCTGTACATTTCAAAAAATTCACCAAGCCAATCCCTAGACAACTTTTTGTTTTTTCATTAAATCTGATCACTACTAATCTTTTTTTTATTTTCAACAGAATGAGTAAATACATATCTAGTTTTATTTAATAAAAATCAAAATCTGGCCCTGAGCATACCGCAAGGGAAAAGAAGAAGTAGATAGACAGAGAAACGCAATATAAATGATATTTTAGCTTTTACAGTTACTTCGTCTGTATTGCGTCTGTACTTATTTTCCTCAAATTATCTCTATCAAATTTCATCACGATAAACTCAGCCTTTATCCATGAAAGCGTAACAGAGATAGAACTCTTAAAGAATATATAGCAAAAGACCGCTCAAGCCATGGCAGATATTATAATAATTTAATCGAATTCTAAATTTTAATATCCATGAGAAGTGTTCAGTTTCCAAGAACGATATACTCTCGAAAAAAAAAACGAAAATCTTATTCAACAATTGAATAAGTCAAATCTGACATCGCCACATACGTATAACATCGTAAATGATAATCGTACTAATATACATAGTAATAAATTATATAATTTTACAGTACAGAAAAACGAGAGTTCCAAATAGGCTAGTTGACAACTTTTTTTTTATTTCATAAATAAATAGTCCATTAACATCTGAGAAATAATGTCGAAGTAACAGCATGTCTGCGATAAATAGTTTCGGAGATACGGTGCTGTGTTTGTAGAACTGCCGCTAGTTGGCCGAAAACGCTCCCTACAAATTCAAAGCACTCAGTGACTTCACATGGTGCTACAGTAGCGAAAAATGTATGGGCGTCTGGACATTTTTTGTAATATCTTTGTTATTTGTGCGTTTATGTTTATAGCTGTTATAATGAAAGTTGTAACATTTTTTATATCTAATTTAAAGCCTTATGTATTTTAGCCGATTTTTGTAGTGGATTTTCTGTACTTTTTCAAGTTTCCAAAGCGTAATATTTTCCAAATCATTGACTTAAAATTTGTTTTGTTAAACATTTATAAGTTGAAATGGTTCATATTTTTCGAAGATATAACAAAAACCTGTATTTTCACTTGTTGGACACAAGCCTCATAAAGTTTTATACGTAGCACTTTATACATAGCAAGTGTCGTACATTAAACCACAGATAGAAAATATTTTATACTCTACATAACAAAATAAATAAAATTTACAGACAAGCTTTACGTTTTTATATAAACGCGCTCAACAAATATACGACTGTATAAATAGAGCTATAAAAAGTGCTGTTTTTTTACATAGCATTCGCGTAACATTCCGCACAATATTTTTTATTGTTTCTTTACAAGTGGGGCATGAAATAATTTATTTTTTCATCACAATATCACGGTATGCTAAACTGCTTTTTTACAATCAATACTATCGAATATACTATAATAAATATTCATTTTCGATAATAATATAATTTATATTTACCATAAACAAATTTTAATTAAAATCAATCTTTTTACATATGCATTAGGTACGTTTTATGGTGGGAGCTCTTTAACAACTGCCTAATCTTTGGACTAGTCTCATTTGAAACGAAAATTTTTACCCACTTAGTATTCGTCTAATATCACTTCATATAATAAATTTTCGGTTACGATGGATGATTCATAGTTTCTTTATTTATAACAAAAATCGATATAAAATAGCTTAATAATTCTATTCCACATGATAACTATATCAAATTATCATGGTCGTTTTTCACTAATTCATGGCAATAAATGAAGTAGCATATGATCAGAATGAAAAATTATAAGCACCCTGACTTAATATCAGTCTGACGGAGTGAAATTAGAAGAATAATAAATTCGGAGAGAATTATTCAATCTATAAAGTTTCGAGCAAAATATCAAGTAACGATCTGTGGCAAGGTTCAACAAGAACGTAATGTCCCATTCAATTCACGAATGACAAAGTCTATCTGGGCACATAAACGGAGCTGTATAACACAGTACAATTAGATACACCATGTTTAAAATCAGTTGCCGTCAGATAAAAAGAACTATTAACCACTGTTTAAGCTCACTGACTTTCCGCCCGAAGCCTTTTAAACCTATTTGTCGCGATAAAAATAGGATATCGAATTAGTACTCCTTGATATGATGTGTGAGGCGGGAGACTAGTTTTACAAATTGTCAATATGCAGACTAAAAAATAAAAACAATATTTAATAACAAGAAACTGCTCTACATATTGTGTAATATCGAGTTTGAAATTACTAAACACATTAGTCGAAGCTATAAAAATTGTTTACAGTTAATTATTCATCAGTAAAAAAGTGTAATAAGACTGTCCTTTTCACCTGACGACATCTGTAACTATAGGGTATACTGATTAAACTTAGTCAATCACTTACAAATCCAGTTCTAGTTGAACAGTAAGTAATTTCACATGTGTGGTCCCGCTACATGGCTAGTGGCTTCCCGTGACATTGCTCTTGCACGTAGCTAGTGAATCGCTTGAGGAACTTTGGATATTCGCGTTTGTATACAGCGCGCAGTACACCAGCGGGGGCCCATCCACCGGGATTCACTGTTAACAATTATTCATTATACGTTAGTAAAATATTAATTAATTATTTTATTGTGTATCTTGGTGGCGTAGTGGATAAGCACCGCGGCCCGCGATCGTTGTCGTTAAGCAACTTTCGCAAGGGTCGGTGACGGGATGGGTGACCAAAGAATTATTATCTCGAGCTACTCCGTGCTTCGGAAGGCACGTTATGCCGTTGGTCCCGGCTGCATTTGCAGTCGTTAATAGGCTCCAATCCGCATTGGGCCAGCGTGGAGGATCATGGCCCATCCCCCTTAACCATCCATAAGGAAGGCCTGAGCCCCTGCAGTGGGGACGTAAAAGGTCTGACGATGATGATGTTGATGATGATGATGATGATGATCTTATATGAAAAATAAGATTATTAAAAAACCGACAAGCTCCAGGCATCTCGAGATGGACGGAGATGGGAAAGGTTGTGGGATCAAATCCCATTTTGGGGCACCTGGGATTGATGGATGTTTTTAAACATTTTTCATTAAAGATAATTATCAGTATAGCATTGTGAATGCAAAATTGATTAAATATAATATTAATTAGTATCAAAATTAACAATAATAATTTTAGAAATATCGAACATGCCTAGGTTGTATTGAAGGTCCTTCGAGCCGGATAAAGAAATAGGATCTGTGCGATTTCTACTAATTTTGTTTTTAAAAGATGTCGAAAGAATGAAAAACAAACTAAAAGTAGAAAAAATGGAAAATACGAAAATATTTAAAACTATATTATAATTATGATTTTGTGAACTTAGACAGGAGCTAAAGGAAGATATTTAGATTATTGTCAGTTTATGAAAGCATTGTCAATTTTATACGGAACGTTATTTTTCGGATAAGCATTTTTTTATGGAAACAGGTGAATTTATTATCGCTTTTTAGAGCTGTTAAAATAAAGCTTAAAAACCAGTGGTAAAGAAATTTAATAAAATATTATATTTTGGTAATAGTGTACCTGTGACGCAATATGGTAAACATAAAGGAAATCTCCTTTGATTTCTTCAAATTCTGGTTAAATTCTGGTGTTGTTCTTTCTATAAATTCGTCCATCAAATGTCTTATACATAAAGTAATTCTTTATAATGCACTCTTTACAAACAAACACACTCTTTAAAAGTAATCCAGTTAATTTTGATGAATTTAATGGATATTACAAAAAATAATATTTACATTGATATCAAGGTTAAATAAGTAAGTTGATTCTGTAAAATAATGAATAAGGTATGCTAGAACATGAGTTTTTAATAAAGGAAAATTCGTTAAACAAATATTCAACAAACCTGTACTACAATATGCGATGCTAGTGGTGATATTGTCTCTGGTGGGCCTCTCGCCGGCCGGACAGCTGGTGCGGCACGCGAGGCACACGGTCACGAATAACCGGATACACGCCCCGGTGTTGGCCTGAACACAACCGTATGTACATCATATAAATATCATCTCATTTTGAAAATATTTTCAAGCAACGTTTCTGACCCTTGGTTCGTGATCCAAACACAAGTAACTGGTATTGAGGCTAAGGTTACTATCTTTGAATTTTCAAAATTTAAAAGTCTGACTCTCTTGTTTTATTACGTCGGACATTTTGCCCTTTTTTAACGCACAAGAAATACAATCTAAAGCCTTGAACTGGTAAAACCCGTATGCAACCCTAAACTGTTTACCCGTAGTGGGTACCCACCGGGGGGGAGGACCCAGGATCCGCCAATGAGGCCGCCGGATCCCAGACATTTTGTCCTAAAAGCTGGACTTCAACATTTTCAATAGTCAAACAACATTACTAGGACCTAAGCCACCCAGCTACCCAGGACCTAACAGGACTGACGAATCTTACAAGCACTTGTTACTTTTCGCTACTACAGAGCGTATTCTCGTCAATGTTCAGGCATCCACCCAAACAGCCGAAAGAAATATTGTTACAAATATTGAAACTTTCGATAAAGATGAGATTTTTTTTCTATATTTTGATTAATTTTGCATTCACAATGCCATACTGAAAATTATGACTTGTAACCAGGGTGCCAGAGACCAAGTGGATTTTTTAAGCATTTTTCAGTAAGGCATTGTGAATGCAAAACTACCCTATTTATAGATCATAGTGTGTTCGCTCACCGGGTAGTCGTTGTTGGTGGTGGAATGATTGGTGACCGCGTACGTGTCGCCGTCCGCCCTCACGTGCGACCAGAACAGCGCGTCCCGCTGCGACGCCGGCCATATGCGCTTGAACGTCTGGTGGAACACCATCGCGTCCGACGATATCTCCTCCACTATCGTCATCGTTTCCAACGTCGCTGATCACAGACAAACAATATTATAATACTAGCTGACACCGACAAGCGGCGTCTTGCCTTTAATTATGAATATTGCATTCAAACAGTGTTTTTACATATCCTATTTCTTTACGTTGCTATTCCTTATAACATAGAAATTAATAAAGACGAAAGGATAAAGTTTGCACACAAAAAACTAAAGTGAAAATGCGTTTTTAGAACAAAATTCTATACGTTGCTAAGCCCGTTACTATACAATAGATTCAACGTTATAGCACTCATACTCTCACAAAAATTTAGAAATTGGAAATTGAAGATTAAGAAAACTTTGCAAACGATGTCGTATGAGGATATAAAAAAGCTTTTAAATGTGTTTATTAAGTAAGATTTATATCCCTATTATTATTAATTTGTTTGTTTTATTTTTAATATTTAAGATAGAATGTTTGCTGATTAAGTAATGATTATATAATTAAACTATGTTAGCTCTACTTGGCCGACACAAAGGTCGACAAGGTCAGACGTAACCTAAAAATGTTTACACACAGACCTAACTAAATGTTGATATATGCAAAAAAAATTAAAGATATAAAATAAACAAAATATTAATTTGTGCTATATTATATGCTAATATTACCTTTAAATACTATGTAATACTGACTAAATGTAATTTATGAATAAATTATTATTATTTGATGAAATTCACAGCACGCACTCTGTCAATTCTATGTGTCAAAAGATATAGGGTTACATTAAAAAGGTTTATATTATCCAAAGCACTAAGGTTAGATTAGAAATAATTTTATATGGTGGTTAAATATTCATACAATTTTCTTATTTTTTTCTTTCATAAAAACCTTAACGTGACCTTTGGCGTTTCACAACTTTCTCATGCTACGTGTGCAGATTATATAGACAATATAGTTATCCTGTATGTAAATATGTATGTGTTGATATCTTATTTCAAAACTCTAAAAATAACATATAAAATCCTTATCGAGAAAGAGAGGGGAATATAATACTTACTCTCCCACTCGTACCGGTAGCGGGGGTTGAAGAAATAGTGACACATCTCACGTGCTGACACGCCGCGGACTTTATGCATGGCTTTTAAAGGATCCATCACCATGCCGTCCACCTCCATCTCTCTGTAAAGAGATATCATTACCATTCACTATAAAAGATATTCAATTACAACATATCTCTCAAAAAAAAAACACGCATTTTCCCTGAGTAAAAAAATAAGAACTAAGATCGAACATTAGCATAACAAGTGTTCGGATAATCAGATACATATTTAAATAAAGTTAATACCATTTTTTTTAATGAAATCCCGAGACTCCACAAAATTAGGTAACGCAAAAAAGTAACATAGTTTATTTATAGCTCTCCATGCAGTTTATGATATGTAAAGTAATAATAAGACATATTAATGCAAAAAAAATAGCTCGTTCTATAAAAACTAACACCTTTATGCAATGTTTTATGTATTTTGCTTATCAATATGAAATCATAATTACCTTCTGTACATCCTCATGTCACCTTCCTCTGCAAACAACTGCCATCCAATTTCGCCACCTACACCCTCGAACGCAGCCTGGATCTGCTCTGTGGATATCCGGTCAATCTGCAAACAAATGCAAACAGAAGCTTAGGTATGTGGCATAACTGAAGTTTTCAATATTCGGGAAGTATATCATGCGATCCGTATAAGATCTACCTTAAGGACATTAAAATACGAAACAACCACTTTGTCAACGTTTTCAATCACTTTCATATTTCACCCCGTGCTGCATGAACAGACATACGACGCCCACAATCATCAACAACCGTACCATACCCACGGCTAAGAATAGCTCTCCCCCATAGATCCTTTCGTCGATCGGTCCTGCACTCCCTGTTTCCAGTAGCTACTGGCAACCTTTATATGATCGTCGGTCCACCTGCAGGAGTACATGCCCGTTGAATTCCATTCCAGAACCTTTCCGCCCATCGACCATCGGTTTATAACTATAATGTCCCGCCCACTGCCACATCAGCTGAGTAATCTTTCTAGCAATATCAATAATGTTGAGTAATGTTAAACTTTGGCCAGCATTGGGCCAGCCTGGAAGTTCATGGCCAATCCTTCTTAACCATCCATAAGGAAGGCCCGAGCTCCTGCAGTGAGGACGTAAAAGGGCTGATGATGATGATGATTCTTCTTAAATATCTTAATTCCTAATACTCTAACACGCTGTAATTTAATAATAAATTTTAGCGTGTTAAAGTATTAGGAATTAAGATATTTAGTAATAGTAACAACAATTCATGTAGACATATATCAATGCCAGCAGTTCTGTTTACATTACAGCCATAGGTTCAGTCTGTTTTTAAATTGGTTGACATTATTAGCTGCAATTATATTATGGTAATTTATGCTAGGCACTCCATTCCTAAAGAAGGGCTAATGTGGATTGTTGTGGAAATGTTTTAGCTAGCTTTAAACTGTATCTTCTGAGCCTTGTAATACTTGCTAGTGTAAGCGATTTTTCTGCGAGTGGTTTTATTACGAACATTAGCAGAATGGAGCTCCTGTTCATCAATGCCAGCAAAGTTTCAGTTACCTCCGGCCATAGTGGATGCACCGTCAGCCTATTGTCTATAGCCGGTGGCGGTAACTCAACCTCGTCGCGCGTGTGCACGCTGGGCGGCACCACCCGCGCGCACCTCTCTTCCTCCATCTTGTCGAATCCAGTCTCCACCGCATCGTAAAACTCGTCATCCGGCAACGTCGAGTGAGGCCCTTCCTGTGCACAAATATAAAAAAATTAATAAATACATGTTAGTCAACTCAGATTTCAAGAAGAGTACCTTTACTCTTTAATTAAGATATGTATACACTTTAGTAAGTTTTATAAAAAGCAGTCTCTTTAGGAGGATAATTAAGAAAATTAAAAAAGTCTAACTATATTATACACTACTTTATACCCGCGACTTCATCCGCGTGGTAACGTTAATCGGGTGGAATTTATCAAAATCCTTTCTTATGGGATGCCTACGTCATAGTAGCTTTAGGCATGCAAAGTCTCAGCCCGATCGGTTTAAAATTGACAAAGTTTCATACAAACTTTCATCCCCTATTTTATCCCCTTGGGGGTAGAATTGATCAAAATCCTTTCTAATCGGATGCCTACGTCATAACATCTACCTGTATGCCAAATTTCAGCCCGATCTGTCAAGTGGTTTGAGCTGTGCGTTGATAGATCACTATGTCAGTCAGTCACCTTTGAGTTATATATATTTAGATATTACCTATGTACAATTACATACATATCATATTACATATTAAAGGATCTCAACTAAAAATAGTTTTAAAGTTTTTAAAGAAAACTTTAAAACAAACAAAATCTTTCTTGATTTTGTTTTTTTTTATTAAGTTTTATATTTAATATCTATTTTTCTTATACTCAAGTTCAAGGGTAATAAAACTAAATATGCAACACGCAACGACAACCTACATACAGAAGAGGACGAGTTAAGAAATTTCGTTGGTTGCGTTAACATTATCGCTACACACGCGGGTACGCATAACAAATTGAAGCCTTCCTAACATCCTGTTGATAACGTTGTCGGCATCGTCGTCCTTGTGAACACGTGACTAAAATTACCAAGGACTTTAATGAGGCAAACTATAATATCGACAGTTCACGGGCGAAATTTATTAAAGGACCGATGATACCTTTGGAACTTTACATGAAGGAATATTTATTACAGCTTTGGTAATTTAAAGTTTAAATTTCTAGAAAAAAATCATATCATAAAAATTATCCCTATTTTTACAAACAAAATACTGTAAATATTTTCCATAATAAAATCCCCACTATGCAACCGAATTTTTCTAAACCTGTTATTACTATACTGTCGCATGATACAAAATTATACTGTTATTTTAAAACAGGATAAATTATTCAAGCTGCTTTAACCGGGAATTATAGATTTAGGAAAAAGAGTTTAAACGAGACTCGTGTGTTTTAGTGTAAGGCTATTCCGCCTTTTCCTATACTTCTCGTAAATCTTTATTATTATAGGTAAAATTAATAAATATGAAATGAATTTCTTTACAGCTGAGGTTTGAGATCGATTTTTTTTTTAATAATTGTAGTGGTTTGACCTTTTCTGTCTCATGAACTAGCCTATTGTTTTGGTCTTGTTTCCTTTTTGTCTTCATTAGCATTTTGCGCAACCTTATTCATAGTATCAGGAAGAACGGACGATGATACAGCCTGGAACGTCTTAATATGTAACATAACAAAGATAACACTATTTTTATTAAACTACGAAATGCCAGATTATTTTGGCTTATTGAGTATTTTTCTTGACAAAAAGAAATTTTAAACAAAAATCACAGTCCCAATAAAATAAATTGCGTTGCATCATTTAAATGTTACCTACATTTATTTCAACAAAAACGAGTAGATAAGAGCTTTAATTATCATTAATATATTCAACATCCAATAACTCTACATTAAAACTAACTTTTACACTAATGACACAAGCTATACCACCTTTTATTTTTAACGCCGCCAGCATTAGAGCTATACCGATAAAATGTTCTAGGCAAGGTCGATGACGCACCCCATTGTGCGATTTAACCAGTGACGTCACGACACTCCCCTTGGCAACCGGCCGAAACGTGTCCACTACGCCAGTTTCACATGACCCCGATATCCCAACTTTAATACATTGACCTTAAATAGACCCGAGACTTTACTAGACTGTAAATATCAACGGAGAATCTAGACAATATTCGATAATGTCTTGCTATAAAACAGAGCAACTACTACGGATAGTTTATGATGAGTTTTATATAAATCGACTGAAGTATGAAAATGACTGAAGATGTCGGGAAAAAAAAAGGATAATTTATTATTAGGAAAGGTTATTCACTGCGCGTTTCCACAAAGACCATCACATGACATTTCCAATGATTTAAGTCTGGCAATAAAAGTAAGCGAAATAGACCTCTTTACATTTTACATCAATCTATTTATACAGTTCGTGTGGAAGGTTGGACGAAACATTAAGCTACCATTGTCGAACTAGTCCAAATAGCCTTCTTTGTTCTGGTTTCGGTAAATTAGCACATGAAAGCTAGTATTACGTCACGTTATTTTTGTCTGTATTCGTGTTATCGAGTCCGGAGGAGGCTTTGTTCTCAGTATCACATTAGAGCACAAAAAAAGTCTAACGACATAGATTTTTCGGGATTTAAACTTATCCACTTTGTTAACAGTTTTCTTTTAATTTCATGCAGTTTATATTTCATATTACTTGCCTTCTGCCTCCTGATGTGATGGCAACTAACTCCTACATAACATAGATCTATCACCATTAAACTCAAGCCCTACACACAATACTAATAATCTGCGGCTAGCATTCAGGATGTTTTTATTTTACAAAAGAGAGCTGTCCGTGCTATATATAATTTACGGTCTAGGGAATCTCTAAGAGAAATATTTAAAGAAATAAATATTCTGACTGTTGCCTCTCAATACATCTATGAGAATATTATGTATACAAGAAAACATTACGATTCCTTCACAAAAAAAAGTAGTGTTCATAATCTTAACACAAGAAATAAAGATAAACTTGCCGTTCCAAGCTTCAGACTTCAAAAAACCAGAGGATCATTTCTGGGTAAATGTATTGCTATGTTCAATAAAGTTCCACAAAATGTAATTGACCTACCCATAAATAAATTTCAAATTCATGTAAAGAATATACTTGTGAGTAAAGGCTATTATAAAGTTGATGATTATTTTAAGGATCGCAATGCATGGAATTAATAGCCTTCGCTTTGTTCTATAAAGACTAATTATATGTTCAACTTATGTCCTACAGACTTTGAAAGTTGTATTTACTATTGTGATAAATTGATAATACATATTATTTTGGTAATGACATGATTTATGTAAATGTCATTACTTATGATAAAAAGCTGATAAGTTTCTTTCGCTTGTTCTTCTTGTCAGCTAAAAGACGTCCTGAACAAGTGGTAGGGGAAAAAAGTTTTTTGGACGATTCAAAAGTGCTTGTAATAGCCTACTTGAATAAAGATATTTTCATTTCATTTCATTTCATTTCATTTTCATTTCATTTCATTTCATTTCATTTCATTTCATTTCATTTCATTTCATTTCATTTCAATATACAAAATGTACACGTCATCAAAACCTTTCAGTCTAACATGACATGAATAATATGAGAAATATTGTACGAAAGCACGTAAATTTCGAATTTGTTCATTATCATTGGGACACACACACAGAAAATACTATAATAAAGCACAAAATGTATTATTTTATGTCAGTCATGACGTCATCATATGACTATCACAATGACTATGAAGGTTACAGTCAATTTGGTCCCCTCATTACCGCGTGACGTCATTGAGGGACTATTTTTGTTACCGCGTTATAGGGAGAACCTTCAGTAGGGAACATCTGTTTAGCGTAACATACCGAAATAGATTTATATGTTGCTAGTAATAATATTGACTGTGAGTTTCGAATCAAACCAGTCCGATAAATTCCTGAAGTCTATGTTTAAATTTTAAATCTTGAGAATTCGATTGTTTAAATAATAAAGTAGCATTTGACAGTCAAACTCACGAGGAATTTTATAGAATACTAAATAACAAGATAAAGCAGATAGACCGTGCGGCACGACTTAAAGTGGTTTTAGCAATACTACTGATCACAGCATGCTGCGGACAAAACAATCTCAAAGTTTAGACTTTTGCACAATTCGTGTATCCAACTTCTTATACTTTTCAGCAAAATCGCCATTATTGCTATCTGCTATTTAAAACACTGCCACATTTTTGTATTATCTCTACTAAATTATATTTCTACAATTCTACAAACTCTACAATTTTAGATTGTTTAGATTAGCACACATTCTTGTTTCCGAAGTTGATTGTAAGCAATGTAATAGAATCTGGAATTTCATCATCTATTATAATAGAAGCACGACTAGAAGATGTCGAAGTAAAAGTCGAAGAATGCTATAATTATAGGAAGTTGAGCGCACGGCAATGTGCGAAGCGGGCACGGAAGGGAGAGTGCAGACACAACCGCCGCCGCCGGCGCCGCCGGTGGGCGAGGCTCAATCGTTACAAACCTATTAACACCACAACGCTTTACTGATCAACAAATAAACGTACTACGTGTTGTGTGGAATCATTGACATATAATAAACAACCTTACATATGATGTAAAAGCTATATCAGCATCCCCATCACCATTGTAAATAAAGCCTTAAAATTTTTATTGCGTCATAAACCTACACCATAGATAAAATTATGTCGACTATCGAATGCCGATACATCTGGAACCAAAGGCATCATACACTTTCTGTTGCAATCACAAATGCGTTAACCTTTGCATCAATGAGCTCTTTCTTTTTTTTTCATTTATTATTAGATTTACCAAAATTTGAGTACCCCATTACAACTAACAATTAATTCAGTGATAACAAGCTAAATGCATCAAACAGTTATAGGTAAATATCAAATGCACTAAGACAATTAAGGAAAAAATAAAAAAAAACGTAGTAAAAGAAAAATCATTCAAACGAGTGACATCACATTCTCAGGATTATGCCTATTAATATCGATTAACAACGACTTATTATGAAACTATTCTGGACAATTGTCCATAACAGCATGTTGTATCTGATTGAGTGTGTCAAAATGAATATCGAACGTAATACCTGGTATTACTATATTTATTAATCAGTATACAGT